GGGAGCGGAAATTTTCAGATGAAAGCGACAGTCCTAGGAAAAACCATGGCATGGCTGGGGCAGTGAAGAGGCCACCCAGCAGGATCACAGAGTGACAGGTGATAACACTGCATATTCGAGAGGCCCAGATGGCGAAACACTGCCTACCAGGATGGGAAACTTGAGTTGGTATCACAAGTATAATAATAATGAACCACTGCAGGTTGGTGAGGGAGGAAGTTTTATGATGAAATTAAATTTAATAGTAGCTTCTGTTTATTGAGTGCTTAGGGTATGCAGGTATAACCTCATTTAATCCTCATGACAATCCTATGAGGTGGGTGCAATTAAAATACCTATTTCACAGACAAGAACAGTGAGGCATAGCGAAGTGAAGCAACTTGTTCCATGCCACACAGCTAGGAATTAGCTAACCACCATGCAACACTGCCCCGCAAGAAGGAAGAATAATTTGTCTGCAGTGGTAAAGAGGGATGGAGACGGAAAAAGGGAGGCTGGGTCTGCAGACCAGGAGGACTGCTATATTCGGGAGCTGAAGATGGGGATGGGGCTGGAAAGGGGAGACGAATCCGAGATTCCATGAGGGAAGTGTTGGCAAAATTTGGGACTGACTCATCCCAAGCCCAGCAAAACTCGAATGTTTACGGAACCCTTGACAGATAGAAAAGTTGAGAAGGGCACCAATTATGGGGCAGATGATGAGTCCAGACTAAAAAGTTGAGTACCCCACACAATGGACACTATTATCCCTCTCCTTGTTAAGGAGTTCTTTTCCTACACAGCCTAACCTTCTCAGGCAGCCCAGGTCTTCACAAGTTACACTCCAGGGCACTGAAGCACCTACCCTCTCTCAGCCCCTGCACAGACCCCATCTCCCAATGACACCTCCACCCCTTACCACAGACCCTTCTCCAGGGCAGCACATCTGTTCCAAGGGAAACAGACAGGACCTGGTTAGTGTCTGTTCACTGCCATGGAGTCCAAAGTGGGGGACTTATTATATCCAAGTGCGTGCATTTGAAAGCATGCACGTGTCTGTCAAGATCCTGCAGATATAAACAGCTCCACCTCCAAGAAGGAAGCACACTCTCATTTTTCCTCAGTGGATGACAAACAGAGATAAACCAGGTGCTGAGCTTTCCCAGGTCCTGCTGCCAGGAATCTCCGCCAAGAGTGCTCTCCACAGTTTCTTCCTGGAGGCTCTGGGCCCTGACAGTCAAGTGTCAAGGCATCACCCCAACAACCCAGCCTACCCTGCCCCTGGGCTCAGCCACCCATCTGGGACAGGCCCCTCTGTTCCCAGTTTTCAGAGCAATCTGGAGAACGGAGGATATTTACAACCCAAGGTTAATAAACGTCATCTTGCTTTCTTGAGAAAGAATGCCTGCAGCTAAAAGTTTCCCCAAGAATGCATGAGGGGTCACAGGGACGAGAGGCTTCTGGCAGTCCAGTCATCCGAAGAGCTGATTTCTTCCATCAGTGTTTACTGAGGGCCCACTGTGTGCTGGGTACGCTGGCGTGCAGGAATGCTGGACAGGGCACTCACGACAGGTGAATAGCTGGGAGGCTGGGCAGAGTGACCGCGAAGGCCTCGTTGAAGCCCCAAGAAGCAAATACTCTGTTCATCTGTCCATATCAGTGTCTGTCCTGCTGACTCTTGGGCACTCTCCATGAGGAAACCTAGCAGAGTCCCACAGCTGGGGTCCATGCGGGCCTTTAGAGTGGTGGTGGGAGCCATGGTGGTGACAGTGATATGGGGGTTTTTAACACAAAAGTTGAATTCTTTGGTGGCTGTTTGGGAACATGCTTGCAGCAGACCGGGAAGTCCTCAATCTACTTGCTCTCCAGGGCCAGGGGCTGCGGTGGGGTGCAGGGAGACTCAGGGACTGCTTGGAAGCTCCGCCTGTTTCAGCAGGACTGTGGCTAAGGTGGTCCTCTGTTTGGGGGCCCACAGGATTGAAGAGCAAGGAAATGCCAAGAGTGTAGCTAAGGTGCTCACAGTTAAGCTAAGGGGTCGAGGGCCAGATTCTGGACCTTGGCATTTCTGAACGACAAAACAGTTTCTTCAGAGGACTCTAAGTTCTTTCTGCCTCAGGCACAGGGTAAATATTCCTGAGAAACATCTCATTAGGAAGAGAGGACACTTGTTCTGAGAGGCCTTTCCTGTACTAGAAGCCTTGGGACATAGCCTACTAAGTGGATATCACATTCAGGCAGTGGCCAGTCTGCCTACTACATGCACGCCCGGTTAGGTCTCGGCTACATAACATGACCCCCCGAACCTTAGCCCCAAGTGCCTCCACGAGCAGAGGGGTTGGGTGAGCTAAGAGGCTGAACCAGCCAGAAGGAGAGGCTGGAGAACAGAAGTCTGGGCAGGCAGGAGTGGGAAGAAGCACCAAACCCGCAGCAAGGAAAAGGCAGGAAGACGTTTCACTGAAATATTCCCAAAGCCTAATTTTAGACAATAGCTCCTTTCTCCACCAGCATTCTTTCCAGAATTAAGATTGCATCCGGTGAATTCCCGTCATCCCCAGGGAAGTTTCATCCTCTGGTGTTTCAAGCAAGGAGCATTTTTTAATCTGTGCCGAGGCAGATGAATGGAGAGACATGTCCCAGCAAGAAGGAAAAAACCTCAGGCCTTTCTGCAATCGTGCGCGTGCCCACCCGCACAAACCATGCACCTGTCCACCTTCAGCTGACAAGAGCAGCGCAAACAAGAGCTGGAGCTCTACACGGCAGGCAAGGTGATCTTTTCAAAACACAAGTCTGTGTAAACTACACTCCCTCTCCCTCTTCAAACTTTGATAACTTCCAAGTTAAAATCCAGTCTCCTTAACTCAGCCGCATGGGCTGTGTCATCTGCCTCCTCCTGCTTCTCCAGCCTCATGTCACACCCTTGAGTTCAATTCCTGCTCCATCCTGCCACAGGGTATTGGCACATGCTCCTCACTCCCACCCTCTGCCTAGTGACCCTCTACGCTTCCTTTACACCGCAGCCGAATAGTCAATTCCTCTGAAAACCTTGTTCTGATCTCCCAAAGTGACTTGCCCCCTAACAACCACCACAACGCCCATGTCTCCGAGCTTCTGTGCCCAGGACAGCCGGGATTTTACAGTTACCAGTGTCATTTCTCATCAACGTACAACTTCCCTACTAGACTGAGAGCTCCCTAAGGGAAGGGCCTATCTGCTCACCAGTGAAACAGCAGCTCCTAGCACAGTGCCTGGCAGCTAATAAATACTCAAGAAACAGCATGAATGAATGTGTGGGTGAATGAACGAATGAATGAATGAACAAAACATCAAACCAGTGATGAGCTGGCCATTCTCCAAAGCTAGATCCATAAATTCCACTTCATAACAGCCTAAGAAACAGCTTGGGCACAGCAGTCGTCTTCCCCCCAAGCCCAGGAACCCTTTCTTCTCCAGCGTGTTCACTCGACTCTCATCTTCACAGCCTCGCCCAATTTCAGACCCGGAGAGGGCTTGCCGCTCTGCGTTTTCAGATGAGGAGACAGGTCTGGAGCCCAGAGTCACACTGCCAGGAAGCAGGACAGCAGGACTTCATCAGACCCCTTGATCCCAATGTGCTGCTGCGTTAGTCTGAACAGGCTAGGCTACACCCTGAGAACACCCCGAAATCTCAGGGGCTTAAGTCATACAAGTTTAGTTCTGGCTCATAAAAAATCTGATACGGGCCACATGGCTCTACTCCCTCTGGACCATGTGGCCTCCAGGGCCACAGTGGAAGGGGAGAGAAGGCTGGAGGGCTGCACAGGGTGTTTTCATGGGCCAGGCCTGGAAGCGGTGTACATCGTGGTGTCCATGGCTTTCACCCACATTCCACTGGCTGCTACAGCTCCGTCATATGGCCCCAAATTAATTGTGCAGGAGGCTTGGGAACATGTCTCCCCAAGTGCCCATGAAGGGAGAACGAAGCAGAGAACAGATCTCCACCACTGCAGGGCAGCTCCTAACTAGGGCTACTTCCATCAGAGTCCTAAAAGGACCTGCAGCCCCCCTGGCCAAGTGGCCCCACGTCCCTGTTGGGACGACTATGCCTCCTCCCTTTAAATGACACACTAACCAGGAGCGGTTTCCGAGAACAGAGAGCCCCCAGCAGAGATCACAAGTGGTCTTCCAGATTAGTGTGGGAGTTGAGTGAAGGGTGGAGGTGTAATGGAGACCACGTCCTGGAGCTCTGGCCATCCTGATCTCGCTCCTCAGAGGTTCCAGCTGATCCAGCTGGTCCCGTCCAGCAGGAGGGCGGCTGGACACCATCCTAGGAAAGCCCCGTCACTGTGTTGAAATGGAAGGTTCTTTTCCTGGTCATCTGCCAGACATGCCAGAGGACTGTCAGGGAGAGGGTCCTGGCAAAGGAAAGCCATCTTGGGCTCAGGTCCTCATCCCAGCTCACACTGGCCAAATGCCTTTCGTTGTGTTTTTTCCTGCCTTTGTTTCCCAAAAGGTAAAATGGAGATGCTCAGTTCCAGCTCCACCCTATCACCCAGGGTTAGTGTACGGATTCAAGAAGAGAGGTGAGAAGCGATGTTTACATAAAAGTGACATCAGTTATTATGGAGAAAGTCACCTAAAGCTCCAAGGTGATTCCTTCTCTTTGTCCGTCCTCTGTGCAAAAAAGGCTGTGTGGTTAATGCCACACTCCCATTTTCAGAGAATCCCTTCCCCAGTTTCCAGGAACTCGGGCTGAAATTCTCCAAGTGAAGTGAACTTCCTGGTACTGGTTATTGTCCAACGGTACTTGGACACAGCATGAGACCAAACACTTACTTTCATATGTGCATGCCAGTCCTGGGATGACTCACCCACTAACATACAGGTTTCTACCATCCCATCTAAGGGACACAGGAGGCCCTTTCCCATCATGCCTGGTCTTTTGCTGGCAGAGGCTCCAGAGTTGGAGGGTGAGGTTGACAGGGGGTGGTGCTGGTATAAAGGACCCAGGCTGGGGGGTGGGGGGGAAGTGGGGAGAAGGAGAGTCCATGAGCCACTATGAGGCTGAGCCTGGGGCACTGCTCTGGACTTCTTCCCCCTGGAGGACTTCTGAGGCAATTCTCTCTGCTTCTTTGAAACAACCCTGAGTCTCTCCACTCTCAGGAGGGGGAGCCTCATGAGATAAGAAGGGCATTGACAGGGCAGGAGGCAAGAGGCTTCAGGCCCATAGAGCAGGTGGATGTGCAGAAAACTTTCAGAGAATCCAGGGTTAGCAGTCGCTGCTTGGGGGATGGGGTAGAAATAGGTGCGATGGGAAGGGGGAGAGAAGGTGTGAGGAGAGAGTGGGTGAGGCAGACAATGGAGACTGTCAGGAGAGGCTTTTGTGACAGCGCTGAGCGTGGGACGGGCATGTGGGTGAGGGTGGGGCTCAGAAACGGGTCTTCAGCGGGGGCTTGGCAACTGCAAAGTTGGGAAACCCAATCAGAGCCCCCAGGTCTCAGCCAACTTCTGATCAACTTTGAACAGCAGAGAGACTCCAGCCTAAAAAGGTTCGTGGAACTTCATTTCTCTTCCTTTTAAGTATGTCGCCATGGGTTGCCGCATTGTCTTTACTCTGATAGACTACCTGCATTTTGCAGCAGAAGAAGCTGAGACTCAAAGGCCAAGACCCAAGGAGATACAGATAAAATAACAAACGCAGGGTCAGAATTCAAATCCAGGTCCTTTTTAGCCCCAAGGACACACGCAGACATCTCTGGGTCTGAATTTCCCCTCCCAACAATAGGTCAGACTCTCCTAGTTAGGGTTACTGCATTAATTAAAAGTAATTAATAGACTTCCCTCGCCTGTCTTCTCAGAAACAGTGAGTCCAGGTTTGAACACATTTTGGTCTCCTAGGACAAAGTAAGCCAGTTACAATTACCAATGTTATCAGTATGATTATCAACCACAAACATTTACAGGGAGCCATGTGAATTGGAACAAGCTGAGTAAGTGGGTGGGACTATGACGACAATACCCTCTGTCCTCAAGTGGATTCTGGTTCTGTCCAAGCCAAGCTCGGAGTGGCTAACGTTCAGGGAGATTGTGGATCCTGGGTCCCCGGAGGGGAAAGTGCAGAGAGAGGAGGTGGGGACACCTAGATGACAAGTTTACCAGCCTCATTTACCAATGGAAACCAGGTGCTACAAACTGCCTGTCGCCTGGCCCTCTAAACACAGGCAGTTGGCCTCCTCTTTTAGAGTCAGGATGCCCAGCAGGGGCCACCCTCCCTAAAATCAGGGTGGGCACACACCCACAATGCCAGGGCCTGGGGTCACCACCACTGACCCTCCTCAGATCCCGTCCTTCCCCCACGGGAAGTGCATACAGCACGGTGCCCCCCATGGTGCTTCACCTCTACCCATGGCAAGTACCTGACTGTGCCTCAGTCTCCTCTCCTGTGAAATGGGGACACCCTAAAGCCTGGCGTAAGGATTAAATGAGTTACTATATTGTGAAGGGCTAACAGTGCCAATAAATGTTGCTACCAACATTATCGCCATCTGAACAAAGGGATGGACAGAGATGGAGCCTAAGAAGGGGTGATCTTCCTGCTTTTCCCCTTCCTCTGCTTCCCCAGGTGAGGAAAGAGAGTAGGAGATCTCACTCGGCAGTGTCGGTGAAAGGCCAGGGGCTGGTGCCGCGGGAACAGCAAACCTGGGCTCTGTACCTGGCCTTTCCACTTCGTGTGGCTTCGGGCAAGTTACTTAGCCTGTCTGAGCCTCGGTTTCCTCATCTGTAACAAAGGAATAATAATAGTACTTTCCCCATACGGTGGTTTGAGGATTATAGGCAAGCAACATATGTAAAGTGCTAACACTTTTTTGAAATAAAAAGAATGCAATATTATTCCACTTTTCTGCATGGGAGGACAGCAGCTCTCGCTTTTCTAGTAAATGCCAAGAATTTTCTGTTTCCTTTTTTCAGAGCCAAGAGGTCTCAGTCATATTGCGCCAGGGTGTAGGGCTGGGGGCTCACCATCTGCTGCGGCCACAAGACCACCATCTAAATTCTCCTGGGAGGCCTACCCTGTGGCCTGTGCCATAGGTCCTCACAAAAACAATTCCACAAGCCTCTCCCCAAAGGTGTGCCTGGGATCGGCTCAGTGGCAGGGCGTGAGTGTCTCCTAGTTCCAGGCCTGCTCATTGGCCTGGGAGAAGCAGGATGACTCAGCCACAGAGACAGCTTCATGCATATGTGATCTACGCAGTCGCACAGGGACCCACCATAACATTACAGTCCTACCAGCAATGCACAGGGTGCCAATGTCTCCACGTCCTCGCCAACACTCCATGGTTTTTTAAAGGCTGGATGAAGTGCAGTCCAGCTTGGGGATAAAGGGCTAGATATGATTTTAGAGGAATTTCCTGGCATTAAAAGGATGTTTGGTCCTCTATTTGGGGGAGGACATCTGGGGATATCTTAGTTTAATGTTATGTTGCTTTCATCTTGAAATTCTTAATACTCTTTGAACAGGGACCCCCACATTTTCATTTTGCACCAGGTCCTACAAATTGTGCACCGAGTTTAGTAGGCTTCTCCAACTATGTTGCTTTCATCTTGAAATTCTTAATACTCTTTGAACAGGGACCCCCACATTTTCATTTTGCACCAGGTCCTACAAATTGTGTACCGAGTTTAGTAGGCTTCTCCAACTAGTGGCACCACCATCAACAGGTTCAGGCTCCATGTTCACAATCTCTCCTCAGTGTCAGGGCTCACACAGATGCCTAACTGGTCTCTTGCTTCAACCCTTGTTCCCTACAGTCTCTTTTCAACAATGTAGCCAGGGGGTCCTTTTTAAAATGAGAGTCAGCGGGGCTGGCCAAATGGCTCAGTTGGCTAAGAGCGCGCGCTCTGAGCAACAGGGTCACCGGTTCGATTCCCACATAGGCCAGTGAGCTGCGCCCAAGCTGAGCTGCTGCTGCGCTGCCAACAGGTGGCAGAATGTCTCAGCTGGTGAGAGCATGTGCTCCTAACAAGGGTGCTGGTTCTACTCCCACATGGGATGGTGGGCTACGCCCACCCACAACTAACATTGGACATGGCACCTTGAGCTGAGAGACCGCGAGCTGCAGACGGGCGGCTGGATGGCAATTGTACTTGGAGCTGAGCTAGTTGTGCCCTCCACAACTGAGATTAAAGGACAACAACTTGGCTGTTCCCCTACCCCAGTTCCCCAACACTGTTCCCCTTCCCCAATTCCCCAATAAAAATCTTTAAAAAAGTAAAAAATAAAACAAAATAGGAGTCAGAGTCATGTCACCTCTTGCTGAAACCCACTCTAGTTTTCTCATCCTACTCAGAGCAAAAGGAATGGTGGCCCTGGACGCCCTTCATAGTCTGCACCCTTCCCTTCCCTGCTGACCTTGTACCCAGGTCCCTTCCTCTGTTCCCTGAGGCCTCCTTGCTCTTCTGCTAACAGCTCACCAGGCACATTCCCACCCCAGGGCCTTTGCTCTATCTGTTCCCTCTGCATGGGATGCTCTTACCCCAGCTATCCTTCCCCAAATAGGAGACCAAACATCCCTTTAATGCCAGAAAATTCCTCTGAAATCATATCTAGCCCTTTGTCCCCAAGCTGGACTGCACTTCATCCAGCCTTTAAAAAACCATGGAGTGTGTTGGCAAGGACGTGGAGACATTGGAACCCTCTGTATTGCTGGTGGGAATGTAAAATGGTGCAGCCGCTGTGGAAAACAGTATGGTGGTTTCTCAAAAGATTAAACACAGGAGTACCATATGATCTAGCAATTCCATTATCTGGGTATATGCCCAAAAGAATAGACAGCAGAGACTGAAACAGGTCCTTGTGCACTAATGTTCACAGAAGCATTATTCACAGTAGCCACAAAGGGGAAACAACCCAAATATCCATGGATTGATGAATGGATAAACAAATGGAGTATATGCATACCACGGACTATTATTCAGCTTTAAAAAGGAATGAAATTCTGACACATGCTGCAACATGGGTGAAACTTGAAGACATGATGTTCAAGTGAACCAATCGAGAAACAAAAGTACAAATAGTGCATGATTCTACTTATACGAGGTACCTAAAATAGTAGAATGCTTAGATCCAGAAAGAATAGTGGTTCGGGGGCCAGCGGGAGAGAGGAATGGGGAGTTATTGTTTAATGGGGACAGAGTTTCTGTTTAGTATGATGAAAAGGTTCTGGAAATGGATAGTGGTGATGGTTGTACAACATGGTGAATGTGTGCCACTGAAGCGTACACTTAAAATGGTTAAAATGATAAATTTTATGTTATTTATACTTCAGCACAATAAAAAAGACAAGAAATAAAGCACGAGGGTAGAAGACTCAATTTAATATGGAATCCACTCTGGCCCCCCCCAGCCTCCTCACACCTTCCCCAGGGTCTGATGGTGCTACGGTGTGACACTGACCACCAAGCACAACGGGAGGCCGAGGCCTGGCCCTGTCCTGGAGAGGGAAGGGACTGTTCCAAGTCTGTTGCATGCCCCAGTAACAGCGTGTGTGAGGAACACTCAGACATGATGCACGTATGTGTGTACACACACACACACACACACACACACACACACACGGACTGCCGCCCAGGCCATGGAGTGACAGCATGAAGTCTCTTGCTGAGGAGATGGGGCTGTGTGAATAGGTGGAAAGCTCAAAGGGAAAAGCAGTTTCTGGTGAGGCATTTAGGGAACGCCTTCTGCTTCCAGAACTCTGGTATCAGTCAAACCAAGTTAAGGTGCAGGCAGGAGCCCCAGTGTGTGACCAAAAGGAAAGGAGGAGGCGTCTCTCCCCTCTGCAGCTCAGCCGGGCAGCTACTCCGGTTGCCACTTCCGGAAAGTGAAGTGGGTCAGCAAGGTCCTTGCACTTGGAGCAAGTTCGCAGCCCTCTCTGGGCTCTCCATTCATGGCTTTACCTAGCAATTCTCAAGGCTGAGAGAGGACAGAGAGATTTTTTTGGTCTCCTGGGGAGTTTGAGATGCTCACAGCTCTGCCCCACACCAGGGCGGGGTGGGGTGGGGCTGCCGGGCAGAGCTCCAGGCTCCCACCTTCCAGGAGATGGACAAGCTCCTCAGGGAGAGGACTTCCAGATGGAAAAGTGCCCGCCCACAGGGCTAATTTTAGGCTCCACAGCAGGGAGCTGCCACAGCAGCAGCAGCAGCTCCCTGCACAAAGCCCCCTGTGCAACTCAGCTGAGGTTGAAGCTACAGGACCACCCAGAAGGAAAGGAAAATATGCACACGCACCCCTGCACATACATGTGCGCACATGCACGTAACACAGACTCTTCCTCCAGGCAGGCCTTATAAATGCTCTTTCCTGCCCTGTAAGAGGGAGGGAATCCATCAGTGCTCCTTACTCCCTGCAGCTCTGAACCCAGAAAGGCCCCACCAAATATTATTAACCACATGACTTTACAGTTCCCGGGTTAGAGAGCCTGAGGTCACTAGGCCCCAGGAAAAGACCCTGAGGGAGATTTAATAACAAAACAGCCTTTATCTCACAGCTGCAGATGGGACCAGCTGTCTCCCTTGAGAACAGAACGGGACAGCTCAACAGGACATATTTACAAGGAATTTGGTTGGACTTGAGGATGAACCTTCCAACCAAGGGAAGCCTAAAACACAGAGCTACAGGGGATCCTCCCAGAGCAAGACCGAGTCACAGAAGGGAGCCTCTTCTCCTGGGCTGGGTCAAGTGTGGCTCACCTGTGCACAGGGGTGGCGTAGATGGCCTTAGAAGCCCTTGGTAACACCTGCTCATATTTACACTACCACTTGCTGCACCCTTCATATCTATTACCTAGGGCTCAACGGCGTTGAGAGACCTGTCCCAGGTCACACAGCAGGTAAGAGCCAGAGCTGGGATTTGAAGCCAGGTGTGTCCTCATCAAGCCTGTCCACACGCACTGCTGTTTCTCTCACCCCAAACGAAGCTGCAGGGGACTACTGGGATATTTAAATTCACTGCCTGAGAAACTGTTCCTTCTTCGCCCCCTCCCCATTAAAGCCACAGGGACTGGCCTTCGGCCCCAGGACATCTCTTCTCTCCCAACCTCCCGCTCTTACGGTCAGCCCTGAGACAGTCTCTGAGCCCCAACTATTCTAATTTGAGGAGCACAAAGGCCATTGGTACCACATTGGCCTCCTTGTTCTTCCCCTCTTATGACCCCTCAGCGGGGCAAAGGAGGGGACAACAGGACTTCAGGGATGCAGGCCCCAAGTGGAGGCCCAGCCCTTCAGTCTCCTGGGATCCCGCCCCATCCTCAAAGTCATAATATTTACAGGGAACACTGCAAAGCCAGCCACCCAGCAGCTCTGCCTGGCTGGCAAGTTACCGCAAACAGCAGATGTCTCTGAACAATGTGAACGCAGCCACCTCCTTACACTAGGTGCCCCACCCCACTCCCAATAAACAAATAAACAAGCAAGATGCAGGAGCCAAGCTAGCTGCCCTTCCTGCAGAGGTCACCCTGGAGCCAGAGCCACATACTCAACACGCCACTTGAACAACACGTCCTTCTAGGGGCAAAAAATGTCCATCGCAGGCAGACACACACACACACACACACACACACTAGGGCAGTGTGTGTGTGTGTGTGTGTGTGTGTGTGTGTGTGTGTGTATCTGAGAGACACAGAGAGGCAGGGAGGGGGGGATGGAGAAAGGACAGGGAGAGAATGTCAATAGAGCCAAAATGCTTATTTTATTAAAAATCTTTTATAAATAAGGCCCACTTAGCCCAAGCCAGACATGCAGTGTCAATGCCAGAAATCATGAAACCTTTACTTTCTGGAAACCTAGCTGGTGAGACAGAGGCGTGCACAGGGTGAGAGGGGAGACCTGCCAATGTTCTGAATGCATATCCTGCCCCCTCCAACTCCCAGAACTCCCACATGGGGCCCCATCTATGCCCAAGTTGGCGAGAAAAGCACGACTTCAAGCCCCACACACCACTTACTTGCTTTGTGACCATGCAGGTTACTTAGGGTCTCTGTGCCTCAGTTTCTCATCTGTAAAATGGAGAATAACAATATCTACATTCGAAGAGTTGTGGCGATTAGATATTAACTACTGTGACGATTATCCCATTCTCCCTTTGTCTTACTTCCCTCTCCATAGTCTACAGAAAGACTTCTTTTGTGAACTGGGAATCATCATCATCACCATCATCCTCTCTTTAATCCCAAGACAGTGCTCTAAGGTCGCTGTTCTTATCTCCATCTTAGAGATGAGAACACTGAGGTTCAGAGAGGCTGTGTGACTGGCCTGAGGTTGCAGCATAAGTGACGGAACCTGGGGAGGACTGCCATAGAGGCAGAGCAGGTGAGTCCAATCAGCCCTGTGCAAAGGCTTTCAAAAGGCCCCGCCCTCTTCAGAATGCACAGGGCCAAGAGGATGTGAGGAAAGGTGCAAGGGCATAGATGAGCCTGGGGTGGCTCAGCCCTGGTGGGTGTGAGGGCACAGGCTGGCTGCTAAGCTGGGTGACTCAGCCTTGACACCTCACACCTCCCTGGGCCCAAAGCCCTGGCTCCCCGTCCTCAGCAGGAGGCACCACAGTTGTGCCTCCTGAGTTTCACTGAGAGGAACCTGACAGGACGTTAGCGGCCCAGGATCCTAACTCCCACCCTGGAGTTTCTCAGTTTCTCAGAACACTGCCCATGATGCTCTAGCTCTCCACCCAGAGTGCACTCTGGCTCGAACTAAAGGGCCCCCTGAACAGGTGTGTGTTCCACTCAGGAGACTGTATGTTCTGATTTGCCCAGCACAGTCCTGGTTGATACCTGCTGTTCCGAGGCAGTGATTAATAGTGCTTCTCTCCTGGGCCGGCCGAGTGGCTTAGTTCGTTAAGAGTTAGCTTAAGGGCCGGCCAAGTGGTGCGTTGGTTAGGGGTTAGTTTGGGACGCCAGCTCTGAGCAGCAGGGCCCTGGTTCTGATCCCACATGAGGGCCAGTGACAGGGCCAGTGACACTGCGCCATCTATAGCTAAGATGGTGAACAACAACTCAACCTGGAGCTGGGCTGCCATGAGTCGCCAGCGATGACGTAGGCTGTAGCCCCTGTTGCAGTGGGCTGCCATAAGCTACCGTGAGTGGCTGGCAGCCAGTATGAGCTGCTGTGAGCCACCGTGAGCGGCCGTCTAATGGCCTGCGGGCGACTGCTTCACCCGGAAGAATGCAATGATAGTGCCAACATGGGCCAGTGCAGCAGCGTTCTCCACAACTAGACTGAACAACAAAAGGACAGCAACTTGTCTGTTCCCCTTTCCCGATTCTCCAATGCTGTTCTCCTCCCCAAATTCCCCAATAAAATTAAAAAAAAAAGTTAGCTTAAGATCGCGAGCTCTGAGCAACAGGGCCACCAGTTCTATTCCCACATAGGCCAGTGACACTGCACCCGAGCTGAGCTGCCACTGAGCTGCCAACAGGTGGCAGGATGGCTCAGCTGGTGAGAGCATGTGCTCCTAACAAGACTGCCTGTTCGATGGTGGGCTATGCCCACCCTCAACTAAGACTGAACTCAGCACCTTGAGCTGAGCTGCCACTTCGATGGCTCAGGGGATAGAGCATATGCTCTTAACAAGGCTGCTGGTTTGACTCCCGCATGGGATGGTGGCTACGCCCACCCGAAACTAAGATTGTAACACAGCACTTTGAGCTTAGAGGCCACGAGCTGCCAACGGGCAGCCAGATGGTGACTGGCGCTCTCCACAACAAAAATTGAGGAACAACAACTTGGCTGGTCCCGCTCCCCAATTCCCCAACGCTGTTCCCCTCCCCCAATTCCCCAATTAAAAAAAAAAATAGTGCTCCCTCCCATTTCACTGTCAAAGTGTCCTGGTCTTGATGCTAAATTATATGGTCACCATACTCCCACTCCCTTCAAGGCTCCTGAGCCCTGGGCCAAATCTGCCACCAAAGGGGGTTTCCCACCATCGCTGGGTAGTTCCAATGACCTTCAAGAAAAACTCCCGACCAGCCTCCTTTACTTTCCAGGCTGTAGAAACTTTCTTCCCACGCTGCCTGCCAGCCCCCATGTCTGTGAGTTCTAGAAGTAGCCCAGCTGGGTCTTCTCAACACAACACAAGTGACCAAAGGTCGTGAGCCTGTCAGTGTGGAAGGCGACTCCAACAGAAACAGGCCACTCCAGAACAGAGAAAGGAGACAGCCAGACGGGTTACCCAGCACAGCTCGTGGACGCATTAGGACCCTACATGAGAAAGCGCTGTATCTTCAGGAAAAGAAGAACTCCTTGCAGCCCTGGTCTGTTCATTTGCTCATTCATTCATTCATTCATTCATTCAACAAAAATTGATTAAACATCAACCATGTCCTATAATCAATGCAAGCAGAGCTCACAAAATTAAAACATAAATAAAACCTAGAGAATTAGAATGGAGATAGGTGTGTGTGTGTGTGTATGTGTGTGTGTATTTATATTTACTTATTCGTGTTTTGGGGTTTTGAGCTATCCCAGGATTAATCTGAAAATCACTGGACTCAGGCTTTGAAATGCATTGGTGATTTTTTTCAATGCATTTACCTCTTTGGTGATGTTTGAGCCCATGTGATATTACACTGTTATTTAAATGAGCCTAGATTTCGAGACCTTTTCTACATTCTTAGAATATTCCAGGAGATGGGGAAACTAGCCAGGGGAAAAAAAGTCAATTCAGTCAAATTCATTGTCCTAGGAATATATATTAATTGCCCAGGATGTGACCAGCACTGCAGGAGGCTGGGAGTAAACCAGACTGCCAACATGAAGTGCATTTCCAACAGCTTGTAGCACGAAGCCTGCCTCTCACTGAGGACATTCACTTCGGCCCAGCCTAGTCACAAACATGGGACATTCAAACCAAGTGACACAGCAACCTCCCCTAAAAAGGCCTATTAGCAGATGCAAGAGAGAATTTATCTTCCCACAACATTAATTAGACAAACATGTACTGAGGCCACTGGCGGGCCAGGCACTCTGCTAGGGCTGGAGAAATCAGCAATAAATAAGGCCTGTCTTGGCTCTCGAGACACACCCAGCCTAGGGGGTGAAAGACAAATAAAACCAGGAGCGTAAAATGGCTTCGGGAGTGTGGTCACGGAGGGGGGCCCCAAAGAAGGGAGGAAAGGACCCATCTCTGTGGGCTGGGGTGAGGCCAGGAAGGCTTCCAGGAGGGGGTGATGGTTTGACTTAAGCTCTGGAATGCAGATGAGCAGTGGCAGAGTGAAAAGCAGAGGGAGGGACAGAAAGCATTCCAAGGAAGCTTGGAGAGGCAGCTGTGCAGGCGTACAGCACAGATGTGGGGAGGCCAATATTTAGAGCCAGGAAGCAATGCTCAGGCCTGAGTTATGGAAATATAGCATTATCGCTGTGCGGCAGGTGCACCAAAGAGGGAGAAAGCCTAGTCAGAGGGACCAGTGAAACAGCTGTTGCCATGGTGTAGATGAGAGATGATGAGGGGCTAACCAGGGCAGATTGGGAGCGGATGCAGAGGGTAGAGGAAGGGCGAGGACGTTTCAGAGTCAAAACCGTCAGCACCAGATGACCAACTAAAAGTGGGAGGCGAGGACAGGGAGTTCTCAGCCATGACTTCCAGTTTTTAACTGGGCAACGGAGGGTTGGTGGTGGCAGAAAGCAAGATGGACAGGAGAGGTGGAGGGGAGGCTGGCCTGGGTGGGAAGAATGGAGTGGACGAGTTAGGCGGTGCACATGCTGGGTTTGAGGTGACCAAGGCACAAACAGCCAGGGAGTTGACAGCTGGAAATTTGCGAGTACATCTCCAGAGAGGTCTGGGCCAGAGGAGTAGATACGGGGAACAGTTAACCTTAATCACAGAGGTGGACAAGATCAGCCAGCAGAAGAGAGCCTGATATGAAATCCTGGAAACCACTTAAATCAGCGGTTCTCAACCTGTGGGTCGCGACCCCTTTGGGGGTCCAGCGACCCTTTCACAGGGGTCACCTAAGACCATCGGAAAACAAAAAGAGATTTACATTACGATTCATAACAGTAGCAAAACTACAGTTATAGAGGAGCAACAAAAATAATTTTATGCTTGGGGGTCACCACAACATGAGGAACTGGATTAAGGGGTCGCGGCATTAGGAAGGTTGAGAACCGCTGACTTAAATGCTTAAGGAGGAAGGAGAGGACCAAGACAAGAGATGGAGGGGGGCAGCCAGAGAGGAGAACCAGGAGAGAGTGTCAGGAAGAAAGCAGTGCCAGGCTGACGAGGGGCAGAAGACCAGCAGCTGAGGAGACATGGCCATGTGGCAGCCAGGAGACCCCAATAAGTATAACAAGGTCGCTTTCATCATGGGGGGAGTGGCATCAGTGAGTTTAGGGAGACATGCAAGCTGAGAACTACCCTGTTGAGAGGGCTGGTGGTGACGAGGAAAGAAAGAGGACATGGGAGATGGAGGCAGGCCTACGAAATGAGGATGGGTTTGTATGAGAAAGAGCTGTGCCCAAGCTCAGCATCTGAGGAAGGGAGTCAGGGAAGGCGGAGAGGCTGAATAAAGGCCAAGAGCAATGGAGGGAGGAGGTGGATTAAAGGGACAGAACAGACGCCAGGCAGTAGAGGGACGCGCTGGGCGGGGCAAGGTACAGGGAGGGCTTGCTCTGAGAGGACACCAGGAGGTCAGCTGAGACAGGGCGGCACAGATGTTTAGGGATCCTCCCCGAGGCAGGGAGTTCATCTGCAAACAATGTGAGCCTAGCGGGTGACACAGGACTGGGAGCTCCGGAGATAGTGGTTTGGCCTCTGTAGGGAGGATACGAATAAAACCACACACCTCATTAGAAGATCCTTGTGAGGAATTCTGGCCCTGGCAGGGAATTGGTTCAGAAGAGTTAGGAACGCAGGATAAAGGGTTTCCTCTGGGCTAGGATTTGTAGTTCTGTGCCTGAGTCTTTCAATCCCTTTTCCCCAATACCAATAGGGTCTATTTGCACATGGAGAGTTTGCACAAGAAAGAGCTAAGCCGCCCCCCCTCCTCCCCCACATTCCCCCCACACACACACACACACACTGCCTGCACATCACAGCTGGGAACTCCTGGTCCAGCACAGGCCCACATCTGTTTCTTGCTCTTGGGTGATGCCCAGCAGAGCACCACATGCAGAGAGGCATGTGACAAGCAGATCAGAGGGACACTAACCCCGAGGTTAGAAAAACCTATAACTTTCACCCTCGCTGACCATGAGGTCAATCAACTCTCCCAGAAAAAGTGTGTCTCTGTCCATGGCTCAGAGCAGGATAAATGCCAGAGTCAAGTGAGTACAACTAGAACCTAATTTAATGGCAAGGACACAGATGTCCACACAGGCCTTCTGAGCTCCACCTGCAAGAAACAAAGGGTGCAGAGCTTGCTGTGGAGCCTGGCGCTGTAGGGAGCTGCAAATGGCCCTCATCTTTCCTCAAGAACAGTTGGGGGGTGGGGGAGTGCAATGGGGACAGAGCCATGGGAAGGGCCTGGGTGTGGGGTGTGGTCCTGCTCACAGCTGGACACCAGGACAGAATGGGTGTCCCTAGGTGATGGGGGGTGAGGAAGGCTGCCAATCCCTGGGCCATCAAGAGTCTAGCTTCGGTCTCGGGCTGGGAAGTTGGATAGACACTTGAAGCCATCAGCTCAGAGGGAAGACCTGTCTCCTACTAGTCTTCCCCAGCACACACTGCTCACAGCCAGGCCTGCCTTTTTCTGGGGGCTGTGGTAAAAGGGGGAAAGAAGAGAAGCTGGCCATCCCTGAATGCTGCACTGTGGCAGGATGCAGATTAGCCTTCAGAATCCACTGAATCACCCAGTTTGCTGTCAATCTTACTTCCTCTCAATGCCTCCCACTGCGTCCTCACATCTATTTCCCTCCTGTGCAGCTGGGGGAATGGGCCGCAGTGGGCCAGCCTCTCTTTGTAAGCTCAGGTTAGCAGTGGCTCTAACTGAGGCATGCACTGTGGTTTTCTGGAACACGCATCCCCCTAAAATGGTTTCTAGCTTTCTCTGTGTGCACAGATGTACACCTCCCTGCAGGGAGGGGTTAGAGCTCTCCTTAGACTTTCAGAGGGGTTGAAACCCAAAGAAGGGTAAAAAGTTGCTTTAGAGGATTAAGAACTGCTGGGGAGTAAAGGAGGAGGGCTGGGCTTGGACTCCTGTGGATGTCGGTGAAGCGCCTTCCTCCCGTGGCAGCTCTGGGACAATTAAGGCTGTAAGCACAGCATGTCCTGGGCCATCCAGTCACATTCTTGGAATGGACTCGTCCTTGGAGTGCTCTGTCCCCCAACATCTCCATCTGAGAAGGAAGTATTTGTTCAACCTTCCACCATATGCTACAAACTCGTGGGGGTATGAGGTGAGCATTTTGATATTTCCCTCCTCCCTAGAATGGCCAAAGCTGACTTTGGAAAACCACATGCAAACCCCACAAGCACACTGTGCTGATGCAGCTTTCGGCAGGGGCCAGCACACTTCCCACCTGCCCCTCTAGTGACTTGAGGGCTGCCCAGCGCACCTGCGCACGAGGACCAGCTGCCCAAACAGACTGGCCAGGGGTTCTCGGAAGCTCGAAGGATGTGCTGGCACACTGATTCCTCCACGTGGGTGGGATGGATGGGAAAGGAAGCAAAAGTGTGTGGGTCTGGGATGAGAAAAGTGAGCTACATTCTGAGAATTTCAAAGCATGCCATCCCTGAGGCCACTGGGCCACTAAACTAGGCCAAAGCCACCCTTCCCAGCCAGTCCATGGGGCTGCTGCCTGATGACCACAGACTGTCTAAATATTTCCAGATGTCCTTGGGCCTGCAGAAGACAGCAAGTGCAGCTCAGACAAAATGAAGTGAAAAATCCTCTCGGGAAAGAGAGGCTGTAAATTAGCTATGACTTCCCAACCAGAAGGAGGGAGAGACCACGGGGCTGAGGATTGAGAGCGAATGATGGGATCAAGACAGTTCTCACCTAGCCAAGGAGGCGGAGAAGCAACCCAAGGCTGTCTCTGGTCACCTTGCTCCAGCCCAGCCCCCACCACCTCCTTTTCCTGAGGTCCAAATGCCATAGGATGGAAATACAACCAAAATAACATCACCCGGTGAAATGTGCTCAGCCATTTCCAAGGCCTGGGGCTCTTTCCTATTAACTCCAAGTTGAGACACAGGTAGTCACCAACCTTGGCATTGAGCAACTCCAGGGGCCGCCATTCACAGTGCAGACTATATATGAACAGCTCCCTCTGCAGGCTGCGGGCTGTGTGCCACAGCCCTGCAGGGTAACCAGTGGCCAGGTCTTGGGGTGGCCAACCTCTCTACAACCAGCTCTCTCCGCTATGTGCTTCCAGACAAGAAGCCCCATCCCTCATGGTGGG